TAGTACTTAAGTTGTTTTTGCCCAAACTCCCCAGAACATAACCAGATGTACATGGCCATGTACAGTACAGTTATAACAGATTTTGTACAGTTGTAATTCATACAGTGATAGATGGTGTTGTTATCATATCATCCCAAAATGATAATATTATAAACTTAGAGCACTTTTCAAAACAAATGTTACAAAGTGCTTTCCAATAAAAATAAATAAAAAATTTAAATAAAATGAGCACACAGAATAATTGAAGAAAGTAGAAAGCACACAAATAAAACAAGAAGCTATAAAATATCCATCCATCCGCTTAAACCTCACTGGAGTCTATTCCAGCTGACTCAGGGTGAAGGCAGGGGACACCCTGGACAGGTCACCAGTCTATCACAGGGCTACACTTAGAGACAGACAACCAAGCACACTCACATTCACACCTACCTAACCTCACCATGTTTTTGGACTGTGGGAAGAAGCCGGAGAACCTTGAGAGAACCCACGCTGCATGGGGAGAACATTCAAACTGTGTCCTGACTGGGGTGTGAACTGGAGACCTTCGAGCTGCGAGGTGACGGTGCTATCCACCAAGCCACCAAGCCTGCTATAAAACATCCATCCATCCATCCATTTTCTATACACCGCTTAATCCTCACTAGGGTCGCGGGGGGGGCTGGAGCCTATCCCAGCCGACTTAGGGCGAAGGCAGGGGACACCCTGGACAGGTCGCCAGTCCGCTATAAAACATAAAACTTCAGGAAAAGCTCTCCAATAAAATGTGTTTTAAAAAGTGACTTCAAAGAGAGCACAGAATTAAGCAACCTGATTTCCCTGTGCAAAGTTCCAAGCAAAAACACGTGTCAGGCGCATGCACAATCAATTGTGACGTTTTCAATTTGTAATATGCCACAGATTTGACTGGGACTGCACAAATGTCTGAGCAATGCTGGTTTATGCCAAACAGGCCATGCCTGCAAGGACCAGTTATTGAGCAACACATTAGAATATAATTAAGACATTAATCTTTAACTTTTTCAGACTGTGTTGTGTAAGAGGTCTGCGACAGGTTGCAAAGTGTGAGAAAAGAAACTGCATAAGGCTTTAAGTTCAAGTTTGTTAAATTGTTGAAAATTTTAAAAAATACCTTAAACAAATAGATTTTTGTGAGCATATACTATTGTTGAAGTTATGTGGTGCATTTGTGTGCTGTAAAAGAATATTTGAGACACTCAGAGTTTCTTGGCCTTGCTTCGGTGCAGATGCATCAACATTTTAGTTTTCATTACCTCTATGACATGAAAAGTTGAACTAAAAGAACTCCAAAATCCTAAAGTCATGCAAGGCAGTGTGGATTGGCTCCACAAACACAATCATACACGTGCTTCCTCACTGTCACATAGATACATTGATGCAGGCACATGCGCATATACTCTTGCTGAATGTCAATCAGGCGCATCACTAACTGTTTATGTCTCAAAGATGTTACAGGCACGTGGCTATTCACGCATGAGCAGCCATGACAAGACATAAGGACAACGACATGATGACCAAAATGTTACTGTTTGCCTGCTATAAGATTTCAATGTGCTTTATTACCAAGTACATCACTGCTGTTTCAGAAGCTTTCTGTATGCTTTAGCAATGTAATATTTTATACAATAAATTGCAAATAAGATGTATGACCTTATTTGCACAGATCAATAAAAAACATCTGTAGCACTTTTAAACAAAGTGACTCTGAGACTGTCTTCACAATCTGCGGCAGCTGCATGCTCAGACTTTATTGTACTTTCACTGACAATATCAAGGACACAGTCCATGATGCTGTTATATTTTTGAAGTGAATTGATTTCTTCACAGTAAAACATGGCTTCAGTGTGCCTACTCAGACACCTCAAACAACTTCAAGGTGTAGGTTTATTGTCACAGGCTCAGGCACTTAACCAGGTCAAAAATCATAATCTCGTTTTTACAGTCGTATCCTTACAGAAGGATGCATCTTTTGTTTTCTCTGGATTTTTTCATCCTCTTGTCTAATTGACGAAAGCAAACATGGCTGACAAGGAAATGAGTGTAATGTGCATAATTGGCCATGCCCTGAGTGGGCTGTCTTTGTTGTGTTTACTCTGCTGAAAGCCATGTTGCCAGAACGGTGCATGTGCCAAGGTCAAGGCTGCACACTGTTCGAGCGACAAACATAGTCGTCTGATATCTAAGACAAGAATAAAAATGCACACAAACAAAGAGACTGCGTCTGAAGACACATTATGCTGTGCTGAATGTGTCTTCCAGGACTGAGCTGCGTTGGTTCTTAAGAAAGCAGCTAAGTTCTGTGTATCTGAAATCGGAGATCAACGAAATCCACTGTGAAAATGCTGATGTTTCTTGCACAAAATATCAGCTGTTATCAAGAAATCAAATCATTTGTCTTTTGAGTCTGCTTTGAGACATATAATGTTTTACAAAAGCTAGTTTTACCTTACAGTCTGTGAATTTTTATGTTTGTGCAGGTTACACAAACTCTAACACTTCAAATCCTAAATGGTGTTCTTGTTCCTGTGGTTAGGAGCTTCCACTTAAAACAATTAGCATGAGAATAAACCATTGTTTGCAATGATAACTGTTTAGATTTATAGGAGTGTAATGCATCTGTGTTCTCTATTAGATTCTAACTCTTTTGGTGCTGGGGTTGTTTTTTTATTTGAGCTTTTCTACATTGCCACCTGGGTTTTAGTTTAGTTTTGTTTTATTTGTGCTTGATATTGCATTGTTCTGTCTGGGAATATGATACATACAGAGTTGCTTAAATCTGGCTTTAAAAACAATCCTTGATGGCCTCACTACCAGGATCATATGGATAATTTAAAAAATGCTTTATAGGTATTGTTTGATGAAAAATCTTGACAAAGCCAAATGTACTTAGATGGTAAAGATGTGTTTCTCTAAGATAAAATTAGACTTTTTATTATCCCCCTTCATGTTTTTGTGCTGGCAGTGTTATGGCAGTGTCATCATGGACAAGCCATTCTGCACGTGTCGTATTATACACATTGCGGGGAACACACTGGCTTAATTACTGACCAATAGTAAAGGCGGTAGCATAGTCCACTCCACCCTGGTTACACAAACCCACTGCTTAAAGCTGTGAGCAACCAGGCTTAAGTAGACCTATCTGATTTCATTTCTGCTGCCCCACAGAGGGTTAAGAAGGTCATCAGTGTTGGCAAGTTCTAGACTTCATATAAAAAGGTAAATACCAGGACATATGACAAAGGTTTTGTCAGATTTGTGGACATTGTGCAAAAAATGTTTTTAGTACATAGTTAGGAAGATGGGGAAAGAGTCAAGTAGAGACAGAAGGAGCACTGAATCATGGAGGCGTTGACATTGTGAACCTTGCAAGCAGCTCCAATTAAATGAAGTGATGAACCAAGTTTGAATCTTGACACACTCTAAACAGTCAGGTACAAACACATACTCAAACTGCCCACAACTTAATGCAGGGCATCTTAAATTAAATGAAAAACATCCTCACAATTAGGTCAAGAATCTGAAACAACTTGATACAGTTGATGGGTGTCAAGAGTGTGTTGATCATGATAGTCTTGTCACAATGTTAACCAGAAGTGTGTGTTGCTGTTTTGAACATTATCTGCCCTCACAGTCACTGCTTGAATATTGCAAGTGGCATTATCTGGTTTTCAGATTTTATTAAAGTAGCCAATTGTTTGTACCATAAATAATACGTAAAAACAGAGCACAAAAAAGAAGAAAGAATGACTGACACAAATCTAAACAAACAAACAAACAAACAAACAAACCACAGAGAGCTCATAAATCCCAAAAGAACTGCCTTTTGCAGTGGACACCGCAGTATTTGGCAGCAGGAGTAAATAGAGAGAAGTAGAAATAGTAGAAATCATATCACGAGATTTCTGTCTTGGGAGCAGCCTTCTCTGATTCACACAGGTAAGAAGATAAGTGAAAGAAGGGAAGTGCTTAAAGTGGCAAAGTGGATGAGCGGAGTCTGAGTCACAAACAGCGGGCTGGTCTGGAGCGACATCGACCAATGCTTTGGAGAAAGTCGATACAAAGTGGATCGGACGGCTTGCAGACAGCAGCTGGACGCAGCCGCAGCCTGCTTCAGCAGTGGCTTTATTTCTTTAATTACTTTCCACTGGGACGTGACTGCACGGCAATCTGACATGCAAACTGACTTGTCTTACCTGAACATATACTAACATAAATTCACATGCAGCTGTAAATAGGCCAACACATGAAGTCTTGCGCGTTGAATAAAAAATAATGGCAGTGCGAGGACTTAATAAACTCACTTTCCTCGCTTTTAACGCGGCTGATGTGTTTGCAGCTGCGCTCCGCTCCGTTCCCCAAAGCCTGACATATTCCATCTACTTTCTCCTATCTGTTTGCTCAGCTTGGCTTCGCAGTCAATTTCACCTTTGCCTGCCTGAGCCTCTCCATCGGCAAAATGGACTGTTTAGCTGCATGCACATAAGAGGTTAATGCTTTTAATGCCATACAAACCCATTAAAGCCCTTTGGTTTGTTATAATACATGTACTACAGGCAAACATATTCCTGTTAAGGGTGTCATTTCAAGGTTTTTGTTGTTGTTGTTGTTTTTGCATTATTGTCATTTAATTTGCGTAATTGCGCACAAACATATGAGGATGCAACATTTAAACAATAAAGCATTATATTTAATAAAAACAAATTCGTATCTTTCCCGTTTTTCTGAGGAGTGGACAGGGCTGACGCACTGAACAGCCTTTGTCGGAACATAATGATTCCAGGTCTTGCTCCAGCTCAGCTCCCCAAGCTGGAGCGTGACGCATGACGCATTGGAGGCGCGGCAAATTTCCTCTATAAATTCGTCAGTCTGCTTTCCAGTGGCTTCAGACAGAGGACGAGGTTAGAGCCCTCACACCGCTGAAAGGATTTAAAAACCATCCCTTGACACAGCACCGTTAACCACCCGGTGCATCTGCTGCAATTATGATTAAGAAAATGCCACCATGCGAGAATGAGCTCGATATACCGGCCAAGAACTGCCACAGGATGGTGATTCTGGGCTCCACAAAAGTTGGGAAGACAGCCATCATCTCTCGGTTTCTGAACGAGAGGTTTGACGACCAGTACACGCCCACTATTGAGGACTTCCACAGGAAATTCTACAGCATCAGGGGGGACGTTTACCAGTTGGACATTCTGGACACATCTGGGAATCATCCTTTCCCTGCCATGAGGAGGCTGTCAATTCTTACTGGTGAGTTGAGCTTTGAAACAACTTCAAGCCATTATCATGCAGCTCGTTCAAATGACATCTGAAATTAAACGTGTCATCTCTTGTGTCCTCCAGGTGATGTGTTCATCTTGGTATTCAGTCTCGACAACAGAGACTCCTTCCAAGAGGTGCAGCGTCTCAAGCGCCAGATATATGAGACCAAGTCCTGTCTGCGAAACAAAACCAAGGAGAAAGTGGACGTCCCACTTGTTATCTGTGGCAACAAGTGCGACCGGGACTTTTACCGTGAGGTGCAGGAGGATGAGATTGAACAGCTGGTCGGTGGAGACGAGCATTGCGCTTACTTCGAGGTCTCAGCAAAGAAGAACACTAATGTAGACCAAATGTTCCAGACTCTGTTCACCATGGCCAAGCTGCCAAACGAAATGAGCCCCGACCGACACTGCAAAGTTTCCCTGCAGTACTGCGACGTCCTGCACAGAAAGTCCTTTAGGAGCAAGAAGTGCAAAGATGGGAACGCATATGGGATTGTGGCACCATTTGCACGAAGACCAAGCGTGCACAGTGACTTGATGTACATAAAGGAGAAAGCAGTAGGGGGCAGCCAGGCCAAAGAGAAAGGCTGCATCATATGCTGAGACTTTCTTGAGCCAGTGTGCAAGAGACATTGTGTGAAACGTTCCAGAACCGTGGCAGCCAGTCTGTCAACAGGGAACATTAGCCAATAAACTGTGGACTTGAGCGGCTGAGGTGATAGTGACACATTGTGGTCGACATTGGGCTGGAAGGAGGGTAAAGTGGCTTGGCTCTTAGGCCTAGGCCATCCCTGTGTAGTGCAGTATATGCTCTAAAAATAAATGCTGTAAACCTGTCTCTGCATTAGCTTTGTGAGAGCAGCACTTAAGAAAAAAAATGTTTACATTTTATTTTTTTCAGACATGTGGAATTTGAATGTTTGTTGCATCATGAACAAATTCTAAATGTGTATTTATTATGTCTACGTCAATTTTTGCATAACAGAGAAAATAAAACCACTTGTTACTTTTTATAGTCTGTCTTCCTCTTGTCTTTCCTTTCAAGCAAAACACAGTAAAGCTACAATAAAAACAAACTCGCCAAAAAAGTAGGTACACTTTTCTGAACACTTCATTCAGCAGTTTCTCTACTGGGAAGTATCCTTCATTTGTTAAAATACATCATTCACTGCATCATCCTGTCACTTTGTTTACAAGCAGAGACCACAGATGCTTGTTAAACTCTGTCAGCCACTTTCACGCAGATTTACCAAAACACCTTCTTCCCTTTTAAACAGATAGAATACCCAATGTGCATATAGAATTATGAAGGATGCAGATCTTGGCTCTTAAAGAATAAATTTATTACAAAATAGAAACATTGCAAGAAAAGTCATACAAAACAATCAAAAATGAATATACAAAACTAAATCTACTTGCAGCATGCAGTTTTCTTTTCCGACCTTCAGAAAATTTTCAAAACTGGAATTCTGTTGGTATGAGTTGAAAATACTGGGTGATTTTAGCCCGTTGTGCTCAAACAGTTTTTGAGCTATTCCTGTGGTAGCAAATTCTTCAACACTGACTTAAACCGCAATGTATGTGCGGCTTTAAAGGGCAATGATCAGACAGCATGACCAGTACACAAACACTCTGACCAATGACGATAAAAGGCCACCCTAAGATGCAGCTTTTTTCAAATGACACAATGCCACAGATGACAAGTGCAAAATGAGAAAAGGCTGTTGGAATAACTGGATGCTATCATGTCAGTTGGGGGTGTCCACCGTCTGTTGTTAAGAGAGACCATTTCAGACACTAAAGTACAACTGACCAACCTTGAATGTGATGCTCTGGATGGACGTGTCTGACAACATGGTCCTGTCCCAGAAAATATCTGTCAGCTTTACCGAACCCCTTGGGAAGAGTGGGACAGCAACCTCATCAACTCTGCATTGTGCTCACTCTCAGATGTGCGGCTCAGTACTGACTTGTGACTTCTAGTCTATTACCCCTCTCTCCATTAGCCCATTATCATTTACAGTGTAGTAAACACTTGGCTGTTTCATGACGTTCATTTTACAGCAGCAATGTCTTGAAAAAACAAATCTGTTTCCTCCCATTTTTTTTAAAATGGCCATAATTTATTAAGTTGCTACATGCATTTATTAAAAAAAAAAAAAAAAACTATAAAAACACTTCAAAACCAAATTCGCATTTGAAAGAGGAACAGTGTCTTGCATAAAAAAAAAAAAAACGAACAAAAAAAAAAAAAACATTGTGCAGTGTGATGCATCTGAGGGGGAAAAAACAATCAGGTCATCTTCATTTAAACATCGTGTTTTTAAATGCCAGGATTTTAACTGATCCATGGCTGAGGATGTCTTATGTCTAAAAGTCTTATCTGCATCTTAACTGTCCCTCCTTTAACTTACTACAGGCAGTGCACTGAATCCAGTCTTGAGTCTCATGATGCTTTTGGCACATCAAACATGCAAAGACTTTTGTACTTCTGCAGCAGCTGGTTTTTGGTGCGGACCTGCTCCCGCAGTGTGGCCAGTTGCTGCTGCTGCTCCAGTGGACTGCTGTCTATCCCGGGCATGTTGGAGATCTGCTCCCGAGCCTCCTGGATCTTTGTCTTCAGTTTAGCCAAGTCTTGATGGACATCCTGACTGTCCTTGTCCATGCTTAAAAATACAGGTAAATAAGAGCACGTTAGTCTTGACACTTAACGTTACACACTGCTAGCTACAGTTATTAGCTTTAGCCAACACACATACAAGCAAAGCAGCTCCACCAAGCGACTGTTTACGACAAATTGAGGTTGGGTCACAAATAAACATGTAATGCTTACACACACATAAAACGGTCCGTACTCTTACCATTTGATAATATCATGAACTAAAGGAAGCAAAGAACAATCCTCGCGCTCTTTCTCGAGCCTTGGTGGAGCCCCCGCCATCACGACCTGCTTCCCGGCGCACAGTGTTTACGTCATGCACTCATCTGATGACATCACTACATAGCGACTACAATCTAAATGGGTGAATAATTATTTTAATGATTTGTGGCCAGTAGACTACATTGACAAAGTGATAAAACACCTTTAAAGTGCCTGCATGAGATTATTTTTTAAATATTTGACAACAGTATTTGTACATTTTGAGTGGCACAATTCAACATTCAAATTCCAAAATTGAGTTGGATGTTCATAATGAACACCTGTAAAGCATTTGTATTCCATATAATGGGACATCCCTACCACTTGTCTTTAAGTGACATGACACACTGGATTATCTGAAGGTCTTACAGTTGTATGGGATATGACACCATATGTAGAACTTTATGTGAATCTGCAGGAATGTGGTCTTTTGCTTTGCCCAAATATTAGAATCACAGGAGATAATTGAACTGTTCAAATTAAAAGAATTGTATTTTATTTGTGTTTCACCACAAAAACAAAACAAAAGAAAAACCAACTGAAAATTAAGTATCATCCTCTACCACCCTTGCTTTCCTTTGTCCAAATCTTAGAAATTATAATTTGAGGTAAGATGCACCCTTTCAGAAAAATGTTATTTATGTATACTGAATATCAATATAGTATGTGCACAACATGTAAACTTAAATGAAAAATTTTAAAGCGTAATCAAATCAAAGCAGATTGCAACTTTGTTATAAAAATCCTTAAGCGCTCTCCTGCCAGAGAAAGGAGCCCCCAGGAGCAATCTGACCCCATGAGTCATCTTTATCAATAAAAACCTGGCTAATATAGGATTTACTATAATTTCACATTTCAAAAGCTTGTCTTTCTTTAACCGCAACACAAATGTTAGATAAGACATAAAGGAATTTTAATTTTTTTTTCTTTTTCTAACGGTTTACTTATTGGCAGTTAATTTAGAATTGACAAACCCAGTCATAAACCTATAATTTTACTCTAACTTTCTTATTACTGAAATTTAAATGCATGACGTATCAATGTCAAATTGCCAATCACCAGGGATGCTTCTCTTTAAACAGTGTGGAATTCATGAAGAGAGGAAAGTCCTATATCACATTAAAAAAAAGACAAGTATTTGTTATTTTATTGTTCAAACTAATGGATATGCCTCCACATGACTCCTGTCAAATGGTCAGTCAACATTACTGTCAAAACATTATAGCATTAGATCAGATCATTTTTTTCTAAATTTCCTCAGACCAGTAAAATCAATTAAATGGTATTTAAAGATTAGCAAGGCTATTATCAAGCAAGAAAAGAGTTGCAATAGAAATTGACCAAATGCACCTCTCACGAGGGGAGATACTTGGGAACGGGCTTCTTACCCTTAATCCTACCACTACAGGGATCATGTGAAGGGATCCAGTGTGTCATGAAGGCAAAATCCAAATTTCTTTTATTTAGGCAACCCCAGAACGCTATTTTTTTGTTATTCTATTTAAGTACGGCTTTCCTTCAAATACGTATTTTTTTTTTTTAAATTTTATTTTATTTTAATGAAACCCCTGATAACCCATATTTCCGCAGAAATAGGCCACAGATAATCTATTAATACAGAGAACCAACAAACCTGACCTGTGATGACTGAGAATAAATGGATCTCATCCCACTACCTAGCAACCTTAAGCATCTCTACCTAAATTAAACCCACTTTGTCTGCAAATGTGGCACATGACGTGCATATAGACTGAAACATGGCAACCTGTGTAAACATTACTGTGCATGACATGGTCTAATGGACTATAATGTGTCATACTACATGTGTATTCTACAGATAATTGAAATGCTGTATGCAGGTCATACACTTCTGTCTGGGTATCCCTTTTGCTTGTTTGCACAGATAGATTGTTCATATTGAAACTAGATTAAGAATATGAGATGAAAGGAAATACCTAACAAATATTGGGCAACATCTACACTGCTTCTTGTCTACTGTATTCCTACCTCTCAAATGCAGCTAAGATACACAAATTAAGTAACATTATACACTAGGTTTCTGAAAATATAAACCTGGCCTGGTTCATCTTTGTCTCCCTTGTTCATTGACCCATATTCCTCTGATATCAGGCCTCTGTCACCCACAGGTCTCCAGCCTCTTACTGCCGCTCATAAGCCTCATTAGCCTGACAGTTTAAATGATTTTGCAAGCGGCTGACACAGTGTTTGACTTGATAAAGGTGAGTTAATAGCAACACTTGACAAAAAGCTTCAGTTATTACACACTGTGCATATGATATGATTAATTCAGAATCAGAGGGGCATTTTCTTTCAAAAACATAAAAGCACATGACAGGGTCACATGTCTCCACTGTTGAAATGTTCGGGTTATATTTTTAGAGATTTTATTTCATCTCTTGATCTTCTGAACCTGGCTGACCTATATATTTTCACGGCTATGTTCTCATCAGAGGATAGATTCAGCGATTCATCCCATCAGTCTCCCCACACTCATTACCCACACTGTGGTAAACACTGCAGGGACAAACTCTCATTAGCCAACACAGCAGAGAGACCACCTCCATGAAACAGCAAACGAGCATCTAAGTGAGACTTCGCTTCACATAAAGATGTGGGGCTAAGTGAACATTTTCTCTGATCGTACCTTCAACTGAGTGGTCGTGTTAAGGTTATTATCTAACACTCAGTGCTTGCAATAATTTGCAGTGTGACTTTGAGTGTTACATACTGTTTAACCTGACAGAGTTTGTACAGGTGACCTAGATCTGAGTTTGTAGGGCATTGTGTTGCCATTTGGGCAAAGGGGAAGGCTCTGACACGTTACATATGCGTTCTAAAAAGTGGGTCAATTGCATCCAACACAAACAATTGAATATATTTGATAGGAATGACTTGCACACTGTTTCTGTGATTGGAATGATATTATAATATGTCACAGAATATAATCTGTGTCAGTCGTAAAGATATTAAGACAGCCTGTCCGGAATGAATTGTCACATGAAAATAAGAGTTCAATTCATCAGTTTGACCTTTGTTTGTCTGAACAGTTAGTTTGCAGTCAAATTCAGACTTTGAGTTGTTATATCAAGTTCTGGCTTAAATCGGAGACTATCTCTTTACCACTGTTCACAATATTGAAACAATATTTACAAAGTTAATGACACTGATGGAAATTGATAATGCAAAAATGGTATCACTAATACAAGGCACCAGGGGTGACTGTGAAGTATAGTTTAGAAAGTCCGCCTTTGCACAGCATGTACTATCTATTAAAGGTTGCACAAACTGGAACATTTTACCTATAGCTGTCAGAGAAAGCTCCACCTTTATCAGTTTTAAAAGATAATGTAAGACATGGCTGATCAGTAATCAAGTGTGTAAACATTGACAAAATCAGGCACTTTGATTACATGCACTTTACAACCTGAAAAGCACTTTATAGACACAGTAGCACCTTAATGTAGATACAACCCAGTCTGATTCAATCTTATCGCCTCTGTCTGTGCTTTATTGTTGTTGTTTTTATTTATTTTATTACTATCATTATTGTTATTTTCTGTCTCTCTCTTTTTTTTCCCACTCTCTGCTCTTTTGGACATTTGTATCCACATGTGTTTCTCTTTTATGTGTGTGGGATGGATGGAAATTAGCCTTGTGCTAAATCCGGCGTATTTACTACAACCTGAGATTGTACGTACATTTATACGCACTGTCCCATCTGAATAAACAAACAAACAAATAAATAAATAAAATCTAGTTTTTTATTGTTTTAACTTGTTATTCAACCCACGTGCCCCCATCAATCCATATTTTAATTGTTAAAAATAATAATAACAATAATAATAGTAAATGAATATCTCTTTTACTCAGATGGTGATAACTGCTTATGGGATCTACAGTCTGTGAAGTCATCAGTGGTTCTTAGAGCTCTTCTTGGATAAGTTAATGAATGCTGTCTAACATGTTGTGTTTTCAAGCACGACCTTTCTTCTGTTCATCAAGCAAACATCATGATTTACATCAACTGCAGACCGTTTTTGAGAAGAATGAATTCTGCCACAGAACTTCACTAGTGAACTAACAGGAGTTTTTGAGATGGTAACAGTAGTCATCTTATGCAATTAAGGAAAATAAACTCATTTATTTACACTCCCTGGCTCTCCACATTGTTCCAACCCATACTCATCTCAACAGGTAGAGGAAGGAGAAGGTAATTTCCACTGTATAGAATCGACTGAAGTTTAATGTTTGCCACTATGCTCTTTGAGAATATTTATCCTCCTACGTTTCTATTGATACGGAATCACCAGTGATGTGAATATATATATAATATATTTCATATTTCTTCTTACATGTTCTCCCCATGCAGCGTGGGTTCTCTCCGGGTTCTCCGGCTTCCTCCCACACAGTCCAAAAACATGTTGAGGTTAATTGGTGATTCTAAATTGTCCGTAGGTGTGAATGTGAGTGTGCTTGGTTGTCTGTCTCTAAGTGTGGCCCTGCGATAGACTGGTGACCTGTCCAGGGTGTCCCCTGCCATCGCCCTAAGTCGGCTGGGATAGGCTCCAGCCCCCCCGCGACCCTAGTGAGGATTAAGCGGTGTATAGATAATGGATGGATGGATATTTCTGCTTTCTATACATTGTAATGGTAAGCCACATTCAAAAATGTGCAGTAGACTATCATCTTTTATTCTGTCTGACTTCAGTAAAGCCTAGGTTTACACACAATGTCTGCATGCCAGAATATTGAGAAATATTAATTGGAGAATTTGTCTTGTTTTTCAACAAAAAAACTAATAGCAAATAATTTCTCAGTTTTCATCATACTCCTCACAACAGTAAAAAAATAAAATAAAATAAAATAAATTCTGGCTCCCAGCAGAAATTCTTATGGATGAACTCCAGAGCTAAAACATTGGCATCCTTCTCTTCCTCATGTGCAGCTCAGAGTAAGTTCATGATTTATGACTAACAAGGGAGCTGTTGATAACACTTGGCCTGGGTGATTTCGGGACACTTTC